TTAAGTTATAATGGAGCTTCACAAAGTATCAAAAATCTCTATCAATTTTATTGTATTTATTCCAATACGAATGTATTAAATGTACATTTTATTATTTAAAAAGGGGTCTTTAAATGAATTTAATATGCTATGATTAAGTGTTCATAAACTCGATCCAAAAGGCAAACATCGTAAATCAATTAATGATGTTGAAATGGTATAACTACTGTATTATACCTTCTTTTAGTCACTTTGCTATAAAGACACTAAACAGTGTTACAGCAACGGTTCACATTATCAATTTGTTCACGATAACGAATGTTATATTTAATAAGTAATATGTAATACAAATCCTAAAGGAATATTTTTTTTAGAATGACGACTTTAATGAAGAGGGCACAACTGGTTAAGCAACTTCAAGATTATCACAACAAAATACTGGTTTTGCAAACAGAACTTGAGCTGCTCAGACTTAAAACTTATCCCACATTAAATTACAAAATTCTTTCATAATTAGCTATTTTTGAATAAGTAATTTATACTTTATAATTTTTGTATATTTATTTAGATTATATAAAATTTATTTGATATTAACAGTCAAAAATAAATAATTACAAAAAAACTATTATACTCATACTAAACTATTCCTCAATATGATTTTTAAATAAATAATTCAATACAATAAAAATTAAAGTATCCTGTTTGCAATATTCTCTTTGTAACACATTAAACTACACAATGGAGCTCCAGTTTTAGAACAGGAATACTTCTTAATATTTCCACATCCTGTTATACAGTAAGTAGGGGTACGTGGTTTTTTATACTGGACTGCTTTAATGGGACATTCAATGCTTTCCGGAAATGAAATTGTTGTCAAAAAGGCATTCTGTTGATAAATTACAGCAGGATCTAAACTTTTAGCCTTCCTTGGTTTAGCATCTTTTGTAGCTTTTGATTCCTGTTTCTTCAGAAGCCTCTCCATTGTCTTTTTCTTATCTTTTTCACGTTTTTCATCTGCCAATTGCTTCCTCTTTTGTGATTTTATTTGAGCCTTCTGAATTGCTTCTGCTGTCATAACTTTTTCCTATAATAGTACTATAAATAATGAAACAACTAATTTAAGGTATGTGATCATTAAACTTACTTTGTAGCCTGTTGGTAGAGACATTAAAGTGTCTGCCCCATCACTACCTCTTTCATACATTGCTCGCTGTCTAGCAGTCATCAAAGCAGGGTCTTTTGGCTTAATTTTCTTCAACTCGTCGTCCACATCTTCAAGTTTTCCTGATTCAATAGCTGTCAACCAACGTTCTTCATCACTTGAAGCACTGTCCCTCTTTTTACGTTTCTTGTTGGAAGGTACATTCGAACTTGAAGACTTTGTAACCAGAGGCTTTTTAGATTGTTCGGAATTCATTGCAATAGTAGGCATATCTTCTTCAACTGGGGTTTTCTTTAACTTTTTAGTTTTATGTTTAATTTTTTTAGGTGCCAAGGATTCTATTTGCTTTGGCTCTAAAATAGCTGTAATTTGCCAAATAAGCAGTTACCATTTACAACTGACTTACCCATTAATCAATTTTAATTACATTTATATTAAACAGCCAAAAATAAGAAACCGAATTAATATGAAACATAAGCAAAAAACCTAACCAAAAAAGCTTTACCATAACCTCTGATTTTGCCCTATGGATTTTGCTATAGCAATGATCTATGGCCATGATTTTGCTCATAGATCGCATGACACTCATAGACTGATCATGATACCATTTTTACATAGATATTTTTGTCTACTGTTTGCAGTCATGAATGTTTTTAATTAAATCACAATCCTCTAAATTTTTAAATCCTAACAACTTAAGATAAAATAAACAAATTGCCTTTTTAAGTGCTGTAAAATGATGTTACTAACCTCATTAACAAAAATTTTTGAATTTAATATAGTGGCTTTGAACTAACTAGTAATGTTCGAGTGGCCACACTGAATTTGAAAATAGTGNAATATCCTAAATTAATTTTTTTATTGGAACCTACATACCATATTTTAACCTTATAATTACCTTATTTAATGCAGGGCTACCCTGGTATAAAAGTAACTGTAGAGGCCTACATTCAATCCAAGCATCACTTATGCGACTTCATATTGATTCCATCCAGAACATGTTTGAGAGTCTTTGCCCTTTTGGTAACGTCAATAAACTACAAAGCAGGAAACAGAATAGTCCGTTACTGCGCGATAAAGGGTAAAAAGGATCCTAAAGTGAAGGAATTTCAACTGGAAGAAGACATGTGGTATAAAAGCCTTCATCCAACCGACAGAGAAAATAGAGATAGAGTATTTTACGCAATGCCGTTTGGATCAAAATTTCTGTACGAATTAGAAACAAGACGAGGAGTAAGAATTTCAAACAATTATAATAATGTTGATGATGTCCTGATTCAGGTTTAAAGGCTGTCTTGGATTGGGGTTGCTTCCTAACGTTTCGCTACCAAGTGTGGTAAATTTCTTCATCTTTGATGCTGGATGTGAACTGGCGACTTCTTGGACAGAGATCATCAAACCACCCAATACCCCTCTGGCATATTTATTATATATTTCTAAGGCCAAGGACCGAATTAACAGAGTCCTGAAGAAACACGATGTCAAAATCATCTTCAAACCTACGAAGAAGATCCAGCAGAGCATCCTATCAGCTAAGCACAAAAGGGGCCCTCTTTCAGCCTTAGTGATCTACCGCATACTCTATTTCTGCGGAAACGTCTACATGGGAACCACTAAGAGGTCGATGGGAACGAGACTCAAGAAACACAAAGCAAGCTGCCGGCTAGAACACTGAAAAGTTGCCCGTGAACACGCAATGAGCAACAGCGACCACAAAATACTCTTTGAGAACTGCAAATTGCTAGCTTCAGTCAATGGCTACCACAGCAAGATGGTTGAAGAGGCCATTGAGATTCAAAAATATCCGGAGAACTTCAACAAGAAGGAGGAGCCAAATCAGATCTGAATCTTCAGGAACACCCGAATCGAATAAATACTACTTGCGCAAGAGAAGTCAACAGTCATCATCCAGCGTAAGAGAAGGAAGGATTTCTGAAGGAGCTCGTCTCTCGGGAAACCTTAGGAAGTAACTCCAAGCAACGCTGATCTTTAGACCAGAACCAGGGCAGCATCAGCTCTCCTACTGGCAGAGAAAGAGAAATAATATTCACACATTAAGGAGTATTAATATATTTTTGTCTCGCAGGATTCGTTTATCCGAATAACGGACAAAATCAATTTGGGCCATCAACTAAAACTGATCAAACTGACTTTCCGCGGTGAGAACATGATTTCATTTGGCTATGATGGTCTGGTAATCGTTCGTACAACAGAAGGACTCGAACCGGTATGTGTAGTAATGCCACACCATAGGAAACACGGTGGTGTCATAAAAGCCTATATTAGCCCCACTCTGTCTCATGTGGTCTCGCTTGGAAGAGACAATGTCATGTGCTGTACCGCCCTTAATACAGGACCATTCGATGAAGAGAAGTTAAACGAACTCAAACAAATCCTGGAAACTCCCAAATTGTTACTTATGTTCGTCAAATCTAAATTCACTTGTATACCAATAGGTGAGCCGCCATTTTGATGAACATGACCAAGGTAGCAGGAGAACGAGGCAAAAACTAACACCAAAATTATTCCAAACTAGTCTCTCCTCCTTCCACTGGTCTTGCTCTCACATTGACAGAAAATTATAAGAGATCCATGGAGAAAATCAATTAAATTTACTTGTATATATTAGAGCATCCAGGCAAGACGTGGTTAGAAGCACAAGCCATAATCGAAGCTGAAAAAGAAAGGGTAATATGTATGGCAGAGAGAGAGGCGATTTTGGCTGAATTCAAAGTAATCCAAAAGGAAGTACGTAAGTTGCTCCATGGAAACCTGACCGGTCCTGACAACGAAAAAATTCCCATCACTTCCTTTGATATGGATGACGAGTTAACAAATTTAAAGTCTATAGAGTGCGATGAACGCTGCAAACAAACGGCTGAAGAGCTTGAATTGTTAATTGAAGCGCAGGACAGAGTATCAAGGTACGGATTTGTCTTTTTTTCTTATTTTCAAACGCCATTTATGACTTTTGTCTGAAATAGGTGGCTAAAGGTGAATTGTTGGGACAGCATGAGTGTAAAAGGTAAAACCATTTGGGGAATATTCATGAGCACACGTGTTGAAAACTATCCCCTTTTACCTGAAGATGATCGACTAGACTTTGTCGTTCAGTGTATTGAGGAATATCGCAAAATTGAAGAATCTATTAACACAGGACCTTTTTTGGCATGGCAACCAATACCAAGAAGGTAAGCAGACATATGAAGCTATACGCCAGACGCGGATCGCGATTTTTCGGTCTTTTTGGATCTCATCAGCGCGTCGCATCTTATTTCAAAAATATGAAATTTTCCCTTTTTTAGCCAACTAGAAGCATATATGGAAGAAGAGCCAACCATAAAAGATGAAAAAGATGCTTTTCTAGAAACCCTAAAAGAGGAAGACGAGGAAGAACGTGAAGAAGAAGATATAGAGACTATCACTGCTTTCGCAGGATCTTTGACACACCTTTTTATTGAAAAAAGCCCACAACATTATTCACAAGAGCAAATACACTCATATATTCAAGTCGAATATGAAACGTTACTCTCTTTAGTAAGTTACCAACTGAAAAAGTAGTTCAAATTTCTTAAGTCGTTCAATCTACATTCGTGTTCAGTACGAAAATGGAAAACTGAAACGGTATTTCAATAAGCAATTCGACACTATCATGTCCCAAAAAGAACGAGAAATGAAACTCCTTGGGGAGAGGAATGACCGATTGCGATACATAATTGCCGAATTGAATTTCTTCAATGTTAACAAATGGGGACTCGAAAGAATCGACATTTCCCCAATCGATCCGGAATGGAAACCGACGGAGCAACCAGAGAAAATTGTCACCGTTGCAGATCATGAGGTGTCCTTTCTTCATATCTAGCCAAAAATTGTTTTGATGGATAGCAATCAATCATTCATTCTAGGTCCCGATAACACCATACATTTCACCGAGTGAACAGGCATTTTTAGATGCGAAGGCAGCAGAGGAAGAACGCATTCGACTGGCACTTCTTGCCGATGACTTTAGGGAAAGAGCTCTGATGAAAATGATGAACGGTGTATTGGAAATGAGATGGGAAGATGAAATAAAGAAAGACGTTCCCAAGCCCAAATGCATGGTAAGCAACAATCAATCTAAATAATACAAACCTCTATCGATGTCAAAAAAATTAATTAATTTCTTTCTTGTCAATCGCCTTTAGATTGAAAAAGAACCTGAAGAATACAATGAAGATGATCTTCGTGCTGTAAGAGACTATGAAGAAAAGGTGAAGCAACTGAATTCTGATCGAGAATATTACAAACTGTTACTGGAAAATGAGTACGGGAAACTGTGCAATACTTTAAGGGAGGGCGTTCGTAAATTTAATGGACGACTGGATGACTTCCTATTAGTGAAACTGAAAGTAGAATCTGCCATCCTTCAGGAAAGGCTCAAAGTCGACATGATACGGAAAAGATCAGCAAGGAAGCTTCTTCTCAATGAGGAGGAAGCTAATGTCTTGTAAAGATTCATTTACCTTCTTCCTATTTTAAACTTCTAACTTAATTTATAAATTAATTTAATAATTTTATTCAGCAAGCAGACTCAAGAAAATGACAGAGAATTGGATGAAGTTTTGAGGTTCATCCCAGTGATTTACGAAAATCTCCAAGAATGTCGTGGTGAAATCGAGAATATCAATGCAAGAGATAAAATTTTGGAGAAGAATTTTAAAAAGGACTTTCAAAACGCAACCCCTGTTGTTAACGAGCAAGCTAACAAACAAATGAAGTAAGTGTAGAAGAAATTTAGAAAAAATTTTGAGCAGGCAATAATTATGTGTTCACTTTAGGAGACGTCCAAAGACTAATATTCGTAACATAACTTCGTCTACGATCGTGATAGAATTGGCACGTTGCGTTTCAACTAACCAGCGTTCCCTCCTCATAAGTCTCTGTCCAGACGCAGTGGAATTCCTAAAAGCGTTGGACGCCATCGACATGTATGTCGGAATTCCCACGGCAATTGATGAACTAACGTATGCCAAAATATGCCAGCATCGAAGATATAAAATAGAAAATGAGCTCAGGGTAAAATTTATTAAGATATTCTATTCTTTAAATAGCTTTCAATAGGACACCGGTTCGATTTCGGGTCTATCTGCACTGATCCCAGTTCTGTAGTTTCCATGGACTTCTTAAGCAGATGATAATCCTTTACTTCCCTTAATTTTATCCGTCTTATCTCTCTCTCCCCACCAACACCATGATTCCAAAGAGGAAGGTAAAGAAGATCTTCCGTTCTATCCCACGGCATATTCCGGAGAGATCGCTCCCCCTCCAGCGTTAGTAGCTGGTGATAGACCAAGCAGTGTGGTCTAAGAAGTTAGACCACGACCACTACTAAGCATTCGGGAGGACTCTGGTTCAAGTCCGGGTCCGTCTACCCCGATCCAAATTTTTCTGCGGTTTCTACGGATTACTTAGGTTACTGTTAGGCAAATAATAATAACCCAACCATCCGCCACCCTTTCCCACGGCCTTTACTAGGAAGCTGAAGGGGACCTTCCATCGTACCCTCCAGCTTTGCATCACATTGTTTGCAGTATCANCAGGGAGTCAAATCGGGGTGTGCGGCAGCAAATTCATAATTCATGCATTTTGGCGGCAACAACTCCTGATGAATGTGCCGGTGCGTTATCGTGTTGCACCTTCTTTTTCGTCAAATGCGTCCGTGTCTCCTTCAATTTTTTATCGAAGCGGTCCAATAACTCACTGTAGTATTGTCCAGTGATCGTTCTTCCTTTTCTTAAAAAATCCGTAAAATGATTTCCTCGGTAACAATGTTTGCCAGGCTTCCTGGTCGCTCCTATCAAAAACGGATCTTTGCCCACGTTTAAATTTGTTGAAGCAATATCTATCTCTGGTCGTAGATGGCGAAATGTCTCCATAAACAGTATCCAACTTTGTTTTCATCTCCTCGCATTTCTTCCCATCCAAAAACAAAAAGCGAGTTACCGAACGATACTGCTCTTTTTCCATCTTAGCGNTACAAGGAAGCTGAAGGGGACCTTCCATCGTACCCTCCAGCTTTGCATCACATTGTTTGCAGTATCAGCAATTTTGTCAATGACCATCGATTAGTTGAACCAAAAGTAAAAAGTTGCAATATTAAAATTTTTACATTTCCTGTGTTTCATTTTGGTATTGTGTCAGTAATTCTACGTATATGTAGGCAAGAGCCAATGCTCTAGATGTAGCAGAAGCGGAAAACACTTTGCATGTTTACAAAAAGCTACTGGAACAAAAAAGGGAATACACCAGAAAGTTGAGGGCGGATATAGATAAAATTCGAGCGGATAAACTGGAGAACGTTCACAATAACGAAATTTTGTTGGTTGTCAATGAAGGCATAGTGGAACTGCCTTTGACTGGATCGGCGAGCGATTTCGAAAACGCGATTTTAATACCAAAAAAGGAAATAGAATTCGTAAATCGTATAATTCTGGTAAGTACCTAACACAATAATATTAACTACTGCTGGATGAACCCATTAAAACGATAAAACACGTGCTTAGGTTAACAGTAACAATGTAAAACAATTGAACTGAAAATACAATTCTGCAAAACTTTTTCTCGTAATTTGTGTGCTCTTTTTGTAAGTGTAAAACCTGTAAAATTGTTGGTAAAATAACATCCTGTGTCATCCAACTTTATGAACCCTTTTTCAATGGTCCTTGATTAAATTGAGATTCCCTTGTGTCTTGTATATTTTTATCCTGATAATTAATAAGGCTTTAGAAAATAGAAACATCAAAATTGTCTTAATACATCTACCGCATCTTCCTAATTAAAATAAAGAGCACAATTTCTTTATCCTGAACTACGAAACTGAGAAATACTCATGTCTACTCTAATTGACTGATTTTTTTCCTAAATTGTCAAAAATCTCTAAAATTACATCACNATCAATCAGTCTGAAATTCGTTTTGGCGTGGTTTGATAGATGGCAGCACACGATGACAACACCAATTTCCCTCAGGAACGTCCTCTGTCTTCAAACACAGGTACTTATTAAACCGCCCTCGTACACTAATGTTGTATTGAATACCTTTTATAATACCTACTTTTAAGTTGCTTAATTTTTTTACTCCAGTTTTGCAAATATTATTGTATTATAACAAAAAAATATCCAAGGGCAGTCATTAAAGCATCAACTTTCTTTTTTTTTTACTCCAAATTTACCATGTGATCTCACACTTGTTAACTTGCAATCTGGTCTTGAACATTATCTTTATTATCCATTCTTTTGCAGCACTTTACAAAACAAAATGTATGGACTAGCGGGGAAGAATTTAAAACTGAAGAACCAATGAAAAGGTTAATTGTAAGCTCTAGAGAAATGCTGGTTGGTGTCACAATTAGTCGAAACATAGTGGTCTACAACCAAGACGAACAAATTTTTGAAAACTTAAAATATCGTGAAAGCCGATTTAGCGACTTTTGTCTCATATATCCCGTTGGCGAATTCATAGTGACGCTTACAGATCAAAAGTACCTAACAGTATGGGAGGCTGCCACTGGGAAAATGGTATAGTTTTGAACAATCAACAATTGGCATAGTCCGCAATATATGTTATATTATCTGTAAGAATAATTGGGGCTGTAGAAATTTGCTGCGTTTTGAAGACGCCCTTTTTAAGTTAGAAATGCTTCATGAGTAGTATAGACAAAGTGAAAAGAGGTAACCGAATAATAGTAAGCGGTGCAGTAGTTAGAGGTTGGTTAGGTACGCAAAAGATCAGGGTCGGCTTTATAACTGCCTGGTTGGAATTATATCTTTCAACAAACGTCTTTGCTTTCTTAAATTCATAAAAATTTGAAGTATTTTTAAGTCCGATGCTGGTAACATGCTCAAATTCTGCTTGTCTGTATCTCTTTCTGTTACACATCAATTGGGTGTAATGCTATTCCTTTTTCTTTATTAGTGTCCGCTGCAATTCCTACCTGGCATCTCTTTTCTATGTTTACCATAATCCCCTAGCAACATGCTCAAATACTGCTTGTTTGCATCTCTTTCTGTTACACATTAATTGGTGTAATGTTATTCTTTTCTTTATTAGTGTCCGCTGCAGTTCTTACTTGACATCTCTTTTCTATGTTTACCATAATCCCCTAGCAACATGCTCAAATACTGCTTGTTTGCATCTCTTTCTGTTACACATTAATTGGTGTAATGTTATTCTTTTCTTTATTAGTGTCCGCTGCAGTTCCTACTTGACATCTCTTTTCTATGTTTACCATAATCCCCTAGCAACATGCTCAAATACTGCTTGTTTGCATCTCTTTCTGTTACACATTAATTGGTGTAATGTTATTCTTTTCTTTATTAGTGTCCGCTGCAGTTCCTACTTGACATCTCTTTTCTATGTTTACC